GTACTGCTGTAAGTCCTACAGTTCTTCAAGGGTAGTTCGTCAAGGCAGAATCCGCCACTTTGATGTGTTGATTGTACATATGTTTGTGTTAAATAATTGTGTGATTTCCAATTATTGTAATTGTTGGTTAAACTTGTTTGTGTCCGGACATTCCACAACTTACAATCGTCAAGCTGTGAAGGGTTGTAGGCGTACTGCTGTAAGTCCTGCAATTCTTCAAAGGAATTCCACCAAGACATGATCCTCGAGGTTATTTATACTGTTTGTATATATGTGTGGTGTGTCTTCTCAATTTGTGATTTTGGATTAATTGTGTTTACTCGGTGTTTTTGTACCTTAATGTTATTGCGTAATTTTGTTAAAATTTTCGTCGTGATTACTTCTGAAGTTGTTTCCAGTCTCCTGCGTTCATGAATGAATTGATTGATGTTAAAGACAGCAGATGGGTCGTATACGCCGGGGGGGGCTAGGCTATTGCTGAGAATGAAATGCATACGGAGATAACTGTTAGCTGCGGTCCTACACGCCGGGGAGGAAGAGTGTAAACGACTGAGGCTCGCATACGTCACCGTTACTAGAACTGAGGCAGAATGAGTGACAAGCGATTGCAGTGGTAATTCGTAGTGAGTAGATAAGAGGATGTGCGTAGAGTATCGTGAGGTGCTCCTATGATCACGTTGCATTCTGCAAGAGTCATTCTAGCAAGTGGCGATCGTGTTGCAAGATGTCAAGAGGATGCCTTTAACTGGGAGGCGCAGGTCGTCATTGATGTGTGAGATTGTGCTGTGGGTATGCCTGTGGTGTGATGGCTTTTCTGTTTGTTTTCCATTTCAGCTCTGTCCGTGTGGCCCAGGTTCTCGCAATGGCATCCAAGTCAACGTGTATTGGTCGGGATGGAAAAAAGGGATGGATCCCTATTTTGCCGGGGAGTGTCAGTGAAGTTGAAGATTGAATGATCAATTCATGGTTGTTTGCTCAAATCCAACTTCCATATATTTTCGCGGAGACATCGATACACCAGTCATCGTCTCATCGGTCGCTGTTCAGAAAGAAGTCAGGCCAAAACTGTCAGAAGTAATATTGTGATTTATTATTGTAATATTTGTTCATAGACCTTAGTTAAAGCTTAATTTTAAAGTTGCCTTTATGTTGGTGATACAATAAAGAATTCTCGAGTAGCCAATCGGTGTTTTGGTTTTGCGTCCGTTATTACTAAGCGTTTCTGAGAAACTTCAAGGAACAGAGTGAGTCCTAGCGTAGGAAGAGCTGGGTATTGACGGTTTACGAGACGTGTCTGACAGCACAATTATTAGCAGTTAATTATAATATATATTCGTAGTTTTCATGAAATTTTTCGCACCATGCATCTGTTTCACCTTTCAGTATGCGTGTTATTTATGATAACTGAATTTTTCGACTACTTTAGTCATTTGGGGTCATTTGTCTTAATCATGTAAGTGCTAAATCTATCTTAACAAATTATTACCATTGCTTGGCGAAAGTGAATTTAATCTGTATCACCTTTAGTAATGTCAATTCGTAGTAAGTTCTCTGTGTTAGTTAAATTGAATAGGAAGCTGATGTAGTTGCACTCGGACTGAGACATCCAAAATCCACTAACTAGTGTTATATGATATATCACCAGTTAGATTTTCTGAAATTGGTTGCGGGAATTGATTCTACGTACAACAACAAAGGGATGTTAGTTGACCTATTCACTAATAACTATGTAGATATTCTTTGTTACGGTTTGTAGTATCAGAAAACTTTGGATGTTAGCGTACAGTTTTGTTTGCTTGAATTGAGAGTGAATTTGAACGTGACGAAGTTTAAATGCTCGACAGTTTCCGTTGGGTGGTGGGAGATACTTCCCAAATGAAGACTTTCTTCTTTGACCGTGCTCAGTTCACAAGTGTAAACAATCTTATTTGCGTTGGATTGAGGCAAAAGTTCTCATATTCTTGTGTTCTATTTGATGTACTTGTGGCGGAAAGACGGCATGCTAGACCGGTTATCCCTAGGATATGAACTTGCTGCTATATGTAAGTGTAATTCTGTAAGAAAACCACCGATGAATACAAGTGGTGAATTATAAGGACAATATTTAAGCCCAATCGTCTGCCTAAAGTTACACACTTACGTCTCTGAGACACAGGTAAGTCTGTAGTGATGAATAACTGAAAAACCTAATCTATGTATTTGTAAAATAAGAATAGAACCTAGGCGCTGCAGTTGGGTTCAGTTTCGTATAAGATTAAGTGTATTCAGCAGTGGTGCATTACTATTGTTACACTTAAAGCATGATGTCAATCCATATGATTACGGTTGTATGGTAAAATTCAAAGCGAAGTACGCTTAAGACTGAGAATTTAGTAATGGAATCCTAGCAATCGCAGCACTATTTCACTTACATTGAATTATTCCACTAATTACTTTCTTAGATCCCATTGATAAGTCAAGCCTCCATCTAGTCATGATGACAAATTTATTTTCAGATAGAATAAGAAAGGTATGGTAGGCAGGATTTTGAGTATATATGATGAAAAATGATAACAAGCAAATGTCTGTGTAGAATTGTTTGTCGCAACTACTCTAGTGGTGTCGAATTGTTGTGACCAGGTCGGCTGAAAATACTGGGTTTCTGTAAATAAGTGAATATAGTGTGTTATTGAATCCGTTACAATGAGAACAAAGCAATACAAAAGTTAAACACTTCATATCTACCTACCACCAGATACTGAGGCCTTCTACCTTATATGTTGTACACGGTGTTCCGGAGCTGGAAACCGGCAATGCTTGTGAAAAACATATGCATGACATACAGCAATGGGGACAGCTTTCTTCTCAAATGATCTGGAGCATTCTCCATTTTCCGGCTCCCTCTCCCCGCTCACATCACTTTGATTAGTTCTTCAAGGCTGCCATAGCACTTCATCGGTAGTATGAGACCAGGGGGATGATGGGAGGACACGTCCGATGCTGCGGAAACAGGCCCCAAACCATAAGGAGGCAGCAAACTGAAGTTTTAATACGACCCCAAGCCTCAGTGACACTAGAGCGATGCAGTACTGAGAACAACAGTCTGTGTCATCCATGGAAAAAACTACAACGGGCCGGTTCCGTTGGAGTTGGCGAACTAGTCCCAACATTAATTCCCCTACCATCAAACAGCTTCACGTCAACTACCCCATAACACACTGAGGTTGTGAGACTCACTGTCAGCTGCCTATATAGCAATGTGAGAGGACTAAGAGGAAAAGTAGGCGAACTCAGAACTCTCCAATCACACCTACAACTTAAAATAATCATTCTCACTCAAACTTGGCTAACCTCCACTATCGCCAACAACGAAATTGGTATAGGTGATATGGTTCTGGTCAGGAGAGACAGCGATAATAAGGAAGGGGGAGTTGCTATATACTTTGACAGGCAACTTAAATGCGTGCGCGTAATGGATTCACCACTAATTGGACTCCCAGACTCCATGTGGTGTCATCTCACCGTAGGCCACACCAAGGATCCACTGAATCTTGGCTAGGGGTATGCAAAGGGAAAATTCGGCCGAAATCTACCGCAAACTTTTCGAAAAACAGGACTGACTGAGAGCCTTGAGGACGACACTAGGGGGCATAGTGGAAAGTAATCGCAACTATACTACATTCTAAATAGTGACTAACTAATCGTCGCAAGAGTCCAGATCATAACTTCTTTAGAAAATAGTGACCACACAGCCACAGGTTTCGGCCTCGTTCTCCGTGAGCACTTGCAGTGCGACGTTACGAGACCATGTTTGTGTCATAGCAAGGCGGACTATGCCGAAATGAGGAGGCTCTTGTCCGACGCAGACTAGCCTCCAGCATGAGATGATCCATATGTGGATGAACACTGGGAAGTGGTAAAAAAAAGATTATTCATACATCAATCTCGGATGCCGTCCCTTCAGCCACAACACAGCCCAAAAGTAGGTCATCATGGCTGAAGAGAGGCACGCAACGTATTCTGCAAGCAAAGCGGAAGGCTTGGTTTACGTGGCGCGTATCTAAGAGTCAGAACGACCACGACGCATACCCGGAACTCAGGAACCGGTGCAACGCGAGTCAGGGGTGACAGGAGGTCATTCCAGGCTAACCTTACCAAAAGCTCCTATCAAACCCCAAAGACTTGTATCGATTCATGCCAGCAAGAAAACCAACCAGGGGCCATGCGCCTTAGTAGGCCTAAACGGTCGTTATCTCACTACTTTGGAGATGGCTGAAACGTTCAGTTTAGCCTTCGCCAAACGGTTAAACAGCAATGTGGGTAATACCGGTACGGACCAAAATGATGGCACCACTATTTCACCGGGGGAAGACGTGATAACTAACACCTTACCGGCAGGGGTAGATACGGCACCGTCTATGATTAGCTTTAAACGATTTCTTAACAGTCATTAGGTGACACAAGACTGCTTTCAAACGGCCTATTACCTAAAAATCTCACACACTATTAATGGGTAGACATTTAAACTCATTGTTTTACTGCTCTCTCATCTTACTCTCCCGACTACCCCAGCTACTGCACTTGCACTTATCATGCCCACAGATATCATGTATGTATGCTGATCAACTCCAGACTTAATAACTGCCCGTTTTTTTGTTTTCGTTATTTATTTTTCCGTCTTTTAATCTACATGACCTAAACTAATTATATCTGTTATTATTATCTCTTTTCTTTTATCGTCGACACCGTAAAGCTAACTGGTGAAAGGATCAATTCCATTCACGGTAGTGATAGTCTTAACAAACCTTATGTCGCATAATTATTCCCAGCGCCACTCGTTTGCGAGTCAACCAAAACCACCACAATCGAGCTGCAGGATGAACTACGAACTACCGAATACCAGGGACCTTTACCTTACAGTCCAGAAGCGAAAAAATGAATTCAAATTGGTTTAAACTAGCTAGTAAAAACGACATAGGATATTGGACTTGCATTGGACATTGGATATGGTATTGTGAAAAGTTTTTCTAGATATCGCGCACGCTATGTTAGACGACGAAGTTCTTACTCCAGACCAGTTACTATATGAGGTTAACAATCTCATGGATAGTCGAGAATATGAAGAAGCATACAGCCTTGTTCTCAAATGCTTATCTGATTCTCAATTTCAGATACCTAATGTGTATTCGGTGCTCTCTCGACTTTGTTTAAATATAGGTTTGAAAGATGAGCGTCACTCATTCTATTTCAAGCTGATATATATTCAAGAGCGGATAAAGAGAAATATGAATTCTACATTAATACCGGCTACCGATTTGCGAAAACTGGCTGTTCATTGAATGAGAACCATCCAGGTTGTGTTAAGGTTCTCCGCTGAATTCATCTTTCTAAATTATTAGTACGTAGCACTTTTCTTCGAACGGAAACTGTGGCTTAAAGGTACGAAAAGATGGATTGAGAAGTCATTTGATTTGAAACAACAGTTACTGGTAAGTTTCAGGTCACCTATAAATGACGAACATTATTATAATAATATTAATAAAGAAATCACTATCTTTCGACCAAAATGACCCCATCATCTTGCATAAAATTGGGTTATGGTAAGTTTTTTGCGGTGCCCATATATTTAGAAAGGTGCTTTGAAGTTACTGGCTGGACGTGGGTACAGAAGAAATTCGCCTATGCACTGTTCAAAGAACCTCCACGGTCATCTTACCAAGAAGTAACTCAGAATACTTAACCTTATCATTTCAGGCACTCAAATACTTCTTGAGTGCTGAAGGAAGTAAGTAAATTGTCGTGTTTTCGACCACAATTCAGGAAACCCTAAGTCTTATTCAACAAATTTGTTGTACATTGCTCGTTGTTACCTTCATTTAAAACAGCCTAATATGGCTAAACATTATCTAGAACAATGTATCGATCACGAAAGTGAGGATGATGAAGCTGAGCAGGTTTGTACTTTTCCATTAAATTTGTTTCATTCGACAGGCAAGGCTTGATGCATCAAAACTGTTGGAAGGCTTATAGGCATTAAGTGTTTAAAATAAATGATATCGAGTCACAATATTCACTGCATTGTTGAAAAATAGCAGCAAACGTGGTATCACTATTTTCTTTGTTTCAAATTATTCCTTAACATAGTTAAGACAAAATATGCATTCAAATTACCCAAAAGCATTGTTCATATTTTTATTTTATGGTCAAATATATAGATATCCACCGTTCAGAATTCCTTTTAATTTTATTCATTATAAGCTATTATCTTTTTGTTTGAGACACCCCATTCCTTTTTAAAACGGGACCACTGGAGTTGAAGAAAGTCTGAAACTCCTAATACCGCAGAGGAACAACACGTCTTTGAAGAGGCAAACCAGATGTTTACTATCTTCCAACCCAGAAACAGTTAAGTCACTGACCAGAAAACTGTTCGTAAACCAAATCCCAACTTTAGCTGAAAAAATATATTTCGATAAGGTGGAGTGTGTGCTTAGGTGACTGGATGTACTTCACCAACAACCGAAAGTAACACACTGGAGTGCCAGATGGCTTGACCCAGTGCTTTCAGCTTAATCAGACAACCTAATTAGTGTAGACCGGTGCCGACTATTGAATTGTGAAATGTGTAGAGTTATAATTTCACGGAATTATTTGCCGCTGCACATCTCAGGAAACCTAACTAACGAGTAAACGATAGTAATTTCTGAATATTAGATCCCTGTTCAGAGAAGACATTTATGCTGTTGTTTACATATTTTTTACATAATACTCAGTCGAAATCGATACCAGAATGTTTCCTTGGGAAAAATGGTGTTCATATAACAGTATATGGCTTTAATTTAACAACATGCTCTGTGATACGAAGATTTTTCACCGTTCGCTGGTCTGACTACTTATGAATTCTCTTATATTGTTGTATTTTTTGGATTTCGAGCAATCAGTTCATCGGATATTCGACATGCTTAGATTTTTAAGCAGTATGCTATATCGCTTCTGTAGCACAAATGTCTAACTATAAAATGTGTTAAGCTGACATGAGTTAATGGATTGAAGTCTAATTTAGAACATCAACAGTCAATTCAGAAAGCAAACGAAACATCGATTCGCCTTAAAATCTTGTAGAAAATTACATGATTTCAAGTTATTCTTTTGCGAGACAACTTACAAATCGGAAGCAAACAAGAAGTTACAGTGGTTTAGACAGTATGTATTACATCGATGATCTTTTCCAAGTAATCTCAGTGGCAGTCTTCAGCTATTTATGCCTAAAGTCTGGAAACTTCTAGCGAGGTAGTGAACACTTCCTTAGATAGCTCTTAAAAACTTTATTACACTCACGTGATTGTAATAATACCTTTGTACAACAGTCTTTAAACTCTACTTGGGATCGCCCTCTTAACATCTCATTACGCAGTGATCGGTGTTTTGGTATCCGTAATTAGTGTTCAACCGTTTACTCCACAACGGATGCATAACTTTCATTAAATAAATATTTATATATCAGTAAACTTCAGTAAAGCATAAAATAATCTAGCTTGAGTCACACATCAACAAAACCCTTACCTCGCACTAGCTTCTTCATTATTATAAATAAATAACTTAGTTAATATGGTAGGATTTGATCTCGTGATAAAATAATTTTATTAAATATAACACAGTAACACAGCATTATTTATTTATCGGTAATATGTTAAACACATATCATACAACTCCTCGTTACAGGTAAGCAGTTAGTGCTGTAACACTGACAGTAATCTAAAAATAACTATTCTGTTATGAAATTTTGAAAATTAAACTATTGCATCACAGAGCACCAGATTATACTTGACACAGTTCTACAGATAATCAGATTGCCAAAACCATTTAACCATTCCGGCATTTTCTCAAAGTGAGAATTTTTCCCAATAGAGGCCAGTAGTTTAAACTTACGTCTCATAACCACGAAACACATGTTAAACAAGACTCTCAACTAGATCATAATTATTAGATGGTAATCGGCGTCAATTTCTCAAATTTGTAACCAAGTAAGCACAATTAATAATATTTCTGAACTGTACTCACACAAATACTTCAGTACGCTTATATACACTATTCTACTATGTCAGTGTATAATAAGACTTGCCAAATGTATATTCATACAGTTTTGTTGGAAACAGTAGTCCAGAGGATTGAAGCTATTTCGTCTTAAAAATTATTTTCCTGAATTCTCGAGTACGACAGTGCTGTTCATCCACGTAACCACAGTGTCTTTAAACTCTCAGATTAATAACAATCGTCAGAATGATTGGAGATAGGAGAAACAAAAACAGAGAAGCTCTCTACTCCATTACGTTGTCTTAATTCTAATTTCTTTAGACCTAGAACTGAATGCTGGACTGAATATGCTAAGATTCTTTCCCCAAGTAGCCTTTAAAGCCTAAAACTAGTTTACCTGTCATGGAAAGTCTTATAAACAGTTGACTATTCAGAACGTCTCAAAATTATCAAATTTATTTAGACTGAATTGTCATTTGTTTTCATATCGATGGAAGCAAACTTTACGCCTACAAAGTTCTTTTCACAGGCTGGAGTCAATATTTTATCGTTCTTTTCAGTTGCTCTCTTTGTGAGACAACTTTCAAACATCAATAGTTGTTTGATTTTTTTTAACTTCTTCGAACTTCACTTATTTTTCTTCAGACTAAAGCAGTAAGCCAGAATTAAAGTTAAACTGTAAAACAAGCAGTTCCATTTTGGAAAAAGTTAAAATTACGGAGCTGACGATATTACTCCGTCGCAGTGGCTAAATGGTCAATGAGCTTACTCTGTAACCTAAAGGTCTGGGGTTCCATCCTCGATGGAGTGTGTGTACTGCTGGGGAGTCCCGAACCTGGACAAAAAAGATGTCACTTACTCCCTGGTTTCCAATGGCGTTCTAACCGATATCAATCCGCGATTTAACTTGAAGCCAGTCAAATGCATTCAAATGATCATCCGGATATTTTTATTTGGGTTATCTCAGGCTGAAATATGTAAGTCACTTAGGGTTGATCTTATCTTCAAATGAATGACACTTCCAACTTTCCTGGAAAGACATCGTACTTCTGGTTAAAGGTTTAGTTTTATATACCAGAAGTATAAGCTCAAACTTTGTCTTTTCTGAAGTTATGACTTAGGATAAACCGAGTAATCCGGATGAAACGATACCCTTTTACGATGACTTTGATTGGTAAAGTTCAGATTCGCACTTTCTGTCGCCATCCAATATATCAGTCAAACTTCGTTCATCATCTGTATATTGAAGGCAGGTAACCTTAATACCAGGAGTTATTGCACGAAACCAGAAATAATGTCTCCATCTTGTACACATTAATCGTTCCAAATAGATTTAGGTATCCATGGTTTTGCAGCTTAAGCCAAGTTTGCCGTTTCCATTGATTTTGTGTCTAATTTTTCAGTATGTTTACACATACATGCTGCCTTTTCGCATCTTATTGTTCTTATGCTGCATGAAGGCGTCATAGTTTAACAGTCACCTGAAAAGCTTCCTTGAAGTTTCCATGTGGTATTTTGCGAAGATAAATGCGGAAGTAACAAGTAATCGTTTATATATTACTTATTGCACAGTTAAAAACCCGAACATTCGTTAAATAAGTCATACTGTAAGAAAGAAATGTTTCATAGGGCAAAAGAATTCTCAAATCAAACGGAGGAGAGCAGGAGAGAAAGAAAAATCCGTTTTTATGTGGTCAGCTGCTAAGGAAACAGCAAATAAGTAGATATTAGCAGAATAAATGCAGATATTGTTATGCTTAAATAGCAATGTGAACGAAACAGAATATTTCTTTAGATTTACTACAGTATGTAATGTATGAGAAAATCAGTGATACAGTGTATTATTATTATTATTGTCATTAACATAGGTTCCCAGTGGAACATAGAGCTACAACATCACATCTCCCTTTCATCTTTTTCTCTGCAGACCCCTTTAGCTACCTCTACGATTGCCCATAGGCTCTCATCTCCTCCCCACACAATCTCCTCCATACCACCCTCGGACACAGGTCCAGCTCATCGTTTCCCAGTCGGGTTCCACTCGAGCGATAGCCTGATGCGCAACGTCACCCGACGGTCTCCACTTTCTTCGGCACAGGAAAACATCTTTAGTAAACAAACATAGTATCAGTGTTGATTGGTAAGGTATTTAAATGGTGATTGCATTGAGAATATCTACTTGAATAAATATCAGCAGATAAGATGAGATGTCAACAAATTTATTCCTATTTACTGAAACAAGATGTACTCTTGTTCTATGACAATACTCATTATGTCATTTAAGATAGAACAACGAATAGATTTTCAACTAAGTGTTGTACATAGGTTTGGTATAATAGAGCAGCCCTCTTTGATCTCCTTACACTAATTTAACCAATTCAAACCTAATAGAACAGACATAAAAATCACCTGATTAGAATGGGATCAAGGGGTTTTAATAATCGTTATCAGGTCAAATATTGTAGCAACTATGAGAACGGAAATGATTATGATTAGTTTAACCGTTTCTTGTAGTCATTATAACATTTTACGCGCTTGGTATTCCATTTCTACTGTAGGATTATAAGTCTTAATTTGTTTGCCGGTAATCAGAGAAGCAGCTGCACAACTTTGCTGCTTATATGGATTACTGATATCACTTATTTCTAAGTTTAATTACTCCTAAATATGTGATTTTCAGACACTGAGTTTCTAACTTTATATGTGTAAAGGATTCGAGTGAATCTTATCAATCTCATGACTCCAGTGATACTGCTATTTCAGTGATGAATAAAATGTATCCATCATATATTTCCTAAACTTTAATCTCCTGTTAGTTATTTAGCAATTCCTCGATGTACAACAAGAAATCAGAGTCCACAATGTTCAGTCACCACAGTGTTGGCAAAGGATATCAAATCTGTCTGGTGAGGAACATCGTTGTTATCACCAGACATACGTCAAGTGCGCGTCATTTTCTTGAAGCTATACTCATGAAACCAATGAAAACTAATGGTAATCACCCATTCATTACTTTGTTAGTAAGTTCTCTTTCTTTAAAATACTCACAAGTCCTCAAATTTTCTTCATTCCTCATATCATTTTTAATTATTTGCTTCAATTTCAAATTATTATTCTGTAATTCTCATCATTATTATTGTCTCTCAACACACTACTTTTAATTTTAGTGTACAAGCTTTCACTCCAACATTACGGAGTTTCATTCAGTCATTTTAGGATATTCTTGATCTTTTATCACAGAGGTATATTAACACTTGACTGAACCATATATATTGCTTACATTGTCCTCTATTTTGTTTGTGAACATTTGAGCAGCTATCACATATATTTATACTTATTTTAATATTAACAAACTTATTTTTACCTATCTCATTTAGATTGTATATGGCAGTTAAGTGTCCAATAAAATAAAAACGGTAACATTATTATTGTGGAAATGTTGTTTTCTATTGTACTTATCATTTAAAGAAATAATCTCCATCAACTTGCCAGATAGGTCTGTTATCATTTTAATTTTTTAAATAACTCAACTTCTGCATCTTAAGTGCATCAATTTTTTACTTTGTTCATTCTTCTTTTTCAAACATTCACCAGTCGAATATTAAAAGTGAGGAAAGCTGAAGGTTCGCTTTTTATCATCAGCATTGTACCGATTGGTGGCAGATGCCTAGTCATATAATTATATTTTACACTTGATCTAACCATTTCAATGATAAACAGACACACGATGATTAATCTGTAGTGATTCAAGCTCCAAGTTTTTAAACTTGTTATATTTTTTCAAAAGAAGTGAATGTTAAGGAGTTACATTTAAGAATTTTGTATTCAAATACTTGCTGCATGCAGTAAACGTATACTTTTTACCAATATTACTGAATATTTACACTGAAAGTTCATAGAGTTACGATAAGTTATTACACTGGATTATTAAGTCACTGACCTTTGCTTTCAGTGATTTAGGGACAATGACGCTAGTCGATATACTATTGAATGACTATATTAAAGCACAAATAAACATAATGGTACAGCTGAAAACCACTCATATCGGCCAGTAACGCTTACTAGTCTCTTAGAAGTGATCTAAATACTTGATGGCTACGTTGCTTAACTGGGACTGACCTCACCCAGTAGTGTACTTGGTTCGATTCAAGCCAGACAGCTGAAGTAGTTCAAAAAACTCGGATTCTGGCAAGCTAATTCGGTGAAATGGTGACATATAATATCCAGTTTGAAAATCGTAAACTACGCAGACTGAGGTGAAAATTCATCAAGTACATATATTTAAAATGACTCTAGTAAACTCTTCATTTCACCATTAATTTGTTCATAACTGTTATTATTTTCCCTCCACTTCATATTTTTAAAATCTTATTTACCTCATTTCTCGATGTAAATTATGTCAAATTGAAGCAATGTCAGTTTATGCTAGGTTTGATATTACTTGCTGCCTTTTCCATATTTATATATATATATATATATATATATATATATATATATATATATATATATATATAGATTACGTGTCCTCACAAGTTAATGTAAATACTTTAGTCTTTAGCTTGAATTAATGAAAAATATGAATTACAGACAGATTTTAATCAATGGACTTCGGGTGACAACCAGTAAAGTCAAAGTTTATTCAACAGGTAATTTATGAAGAAAGGAAACAAACCAGCAAGACCTGATGGTATATACTCAGAGGTGTTTAGTTACGGTGTTGAAAAAAACTTTCTGGGTTAACTAAGGCATTAGGTGATGTCCGGGAATCAGAGACAGATCCGTTAGACTGGGGTAGGTCACTGGTTATACCAGTTTATAAGAGGAGAGACAAGTCTTCCTGTGTTAATCATACGGAGGTGAGCTTGACTAATACGGTACTTACAGTTCTAAGCTCAAAAATCATTCGCACATGAGTGGTGCTCTGGGAGAAAACCAGGCATGTTCTGGGCCAGGGAGGGGATGTATTGATCATATCTTCACCATTTGACAGATTCTGAAACACATATATACTTACCAACTCCTAACACTTGCTATATTTCTTGACCTTAAGGTGGAATTCGACTCCAATCGAGAGGTGCTGTGGCAGTGTTTGGACATGAAAGAAGCGCCAAGAAAGTACGTCGCACTAATCAAGGCAGTCTACTCGAACCCAGACAGTTGCCTAAGGCCTTATATACAGTTGCATCTGAAGTGATGACAACCAATGGTGTCCACCAGGGATGCTAACCAATTTTATCAAAGATTTAGTAATAAAATTGACCCTAACTGACTTCAGCAATTTGCGGAATGACTTCTTACCAGGGAACAGTCTTGTTGACTTTGAGTATGCGGATGATATTGTCTTCCTCGACGAAGACGCTGATAAATCGTGGAGTTTCCTGGACACCTTGAGCAGCAATCTTCGGATGCCTGGCGTGCGATTTACTCCTGTCAAATGGAGGATGATGCTGCAGGACTAGACTGCACTGACTGCAAGTTTAACGATAGGAGGCGAAGTGATAGAGCGTGTTGACCATTTCGCTTGTTTGAGAAATTGCATCAAGCTCCAATGAACTGACTGGTAACGAAATCTCAGCACAGATACAAAAGGTTCGCGTGACATTCGCTACCTCTGGTGTAGACATGGTATCTGGCTGTCGATCACAAGATATGTGTACTAAGCAGCAGTTCGCTCCGTCCTCCTTCATGGATGTGAGATAGCCATTGAAAGTGGAGGATATGAAAATGTTAGATTTCTTTGACCGTAGTTGTTTAGGTTTTATCTCCCTTTTTAAGTTACATAGTATGGTGAGCAATATTGAGGCTAGGCACAGAAGGTTAGTTAAGAAGTGCATCAATCGATGAAGTTGTTAAGGTGAATCGATTGAGATGGTTAGGATATGTGTTGTGCATGCCGAGCCATTGCCTCCTTCAACAAGCAGGGTTAGCTGACATCACATTAGGTTTGAAAAGATTTACGGGTGGTCAGACCAAAACCTGGTATCAATCCAAGCTTTAAGCCACGTAGGGAGGTGTAGGTTGCCTGGTTGGGGTCCTCTGAATGCTAAACACCAGTCGTTGGAGGTTATTGAAGACATGGTTCAAAATCGTCCTCAACGGTGCAGAAGCATTCACTCTTTGTGATCTCCCATATCCATCACGCCCTAACGTTTCTGTATGTGTTTATTGTTTCTCCAGAACATCTTTGTTCGTTGTAATTCTCCTCGTTTTTGTGCTACTTGAAGTTTGGTAACTTGATGTTACAGGACTGGACTACAGCGACTCCTAGTTTAAAAATAGGAAGTGAAGTGGTAGAGCACGTTGAACGCTTCACTTATTCGGGAAGTACCATTAGCCACTGCCAACGGGTTGACCTCTGACGAAATCTTAACACGGATACAGGGGGCTCGTTTCGCATTTGCCAGTTTACGCCGTCTCTGGCGTAGACGAGATATTCGACTATCGACCAAAGGGCGAGTTTACTGCTCATCAGTCCGCTCCTTCCTCCTTTATGGCTGTGAGACCTAACCACTGAGAGTGTAAGACATGGTAAGATTAGCTCTCTTTGATCATAGGTGCCTGTGTTCTATCTCCCGTGTGAAGTGGCATAATAAGGTGAGCAATATTGAGATTAGGCGTCGAGTTCTAGGCAAACAGGGGAAATCAATCGACGAAGTTGTGAAGTTACAAAGACTGAGATGGTTAGGACACGTGTTACGTATGCCTAGTCATCGCCTTCCTCGATGAGCAGCGTTAGCTGATATAGGGTCACGCTGGAAAAAAGCTAGCGGAGGTCAAACAAAAACACCAGTCAGTGAAATCTACAACAGTTAGTTTAAGCCAGTCACGTAGGAGGGTGTAGACTTCCTGACTGGTTGGGGTCCTCGGGACGGTAAAAACCAATGGTTGGAAACAATCGGTGATATGGATCAAAATCGTTCTCAATGACAGCGCAGATGCATCCACTCCTTGTGACTTATGATTTCCAATCAAACTGTTTTGTTCTTCGTTACTACTACTCCTTTGTCTCACACCTCTGCTTACTGTCTCTATTATGCTTTTCTTCTCTTGTTTT